ACAAAGTGTTAATACTCACATTGAAAATTTAACAGTTGGTTCTGCTGGCTGGTTCAAGCTGGCTCCAGCACACCCCTGCATGTAAGTCTTGTCCACTTGGAACGATTTTAGAAACATTCCTGACAAGAGTATCTCCACGTTGACCTGGCCTTGATACCGCATTGAAGATTTAAGGATAAGGCACCAAGGTTCACTGTATATTATTATCTTAATAAAATAGGTAAGGCTTGATTTAAAGCAACTTTAAAAAAAAACAGAAAAATGGAAAGGACTTAATGAGCAGGTTGATTTTGGAAAAACATGGAAAGACTTGTCCAAAATAATGCAGAGAGAAACCAAGAGAACATTGTATATAGTAACAGCAATATTTTTCAACAGGTAACTGAATAACTAAGCTATTCTGAGTAATATGAGTATTCAAATCAACTACAAAGGACTCATAAAGGAAGATGCTATCCACCTCCAGAGAAAGAACTGATATATGGACATATGTATGGTATGGTTCCACATATATACGTGTGTGTGTGTGTGTGTGTGTGTGTGTGTGTATGAGTGTGCAATGTTAGGCTTCTCTAATGTGGAGGAGGGAAGGAGGGAGATAACTCAACATAAAATGTAACAAAAAAAAATAAATTAGTGTTTTTTTTAATGGAAAGGACTTGCATCTGAATCCATGGACAGTCAAAATAACTTTCCTTCTACCTCAGATGGTCCCCCCACCTTCCCCAGGGACCTATAAAGGTCTTCAGACATGTAGTACTAGCCTCTATTTAAAGCCTCTCCACAAGGCAAAATCTCTTAGATTGTAGACACCAAGCAACTGCCTTCCTCAAGGGAGTCCCACTTCTTCCAGGGACCTATAAAGTCCTCCAGTCTTATAATGCTATCCTAAGGTTGTGGCTCCTCAAAAAAGGGAAGACAGAATCACTGGAGAGTTTTCTCTCAGGACCTGCACAGTCCACATGACTCACAGTACTGGTAAAGGACATGGTTCAAGCTTGCTCCAAGAGCACGGGCTTAAATGCAGTGTTGCTCAAATGCGATAAGTAAAGTGAACCATTTTCAGCTATCAGCACCATAATGCCAAGTGTTTCACTGCAATTGCTCTTAAATGGAAAAACCAAAGCAGATAGTAAAGTTAGAAGGCCATCTACTAGCGATGATCTAGTATACAACCCTCTCATTTTACAGGTGAGGAAACTGAGGCTTAGTGAGATAGCAGGGGCTGAAAAGGGGTGGGGACTATTTGAAGAAAAGTAAGGATCATTAGAAATTCTAATAGCTGATATTAAAGGTTTATAAAATTCTTTCAAAGCATTTAGCATACTGGGGTTGAAAACAGCAAATCTGGGTTTGAATCTTATCTCTGATACTCATTACTTGTATGACAATGGGCAAATCCCTTAACTTCTCAGATTCTCAGCTTCCTCATCTGCAAAATGGGGCTAATAATACTTGTACTACCTGGGTAGTAGTGGGGACCAAACCAGAGCCCTTATGTAAAGCACTATGTAACTGTGATTATATAAGTTGATACTCACAAACACACTGTGAAGCAGGTATTACAGGTACTATTATCTTCATTCTACAAATTATGAAGTGGATACCCGAAGTGGCTAAATGAAGTCATACAGCATCAGAGGGAAGATTCAAAACTTTGTGTTTCTTCACTCCAAGCCTAGGAGTTTTTCATTGCCCCTTCCTTCTAACGCAAAAGTTGCTGCAACTGTGTTTGTGTGATGGAAGAGTGGGGAGATGCCCTGAGAATCCAATGGAGAATTCAGAAGTACTGGGTTCCTCGGGAAGGGGGAAAGAAGAAAAAAGGAGGTGGGGGAATGGTGAAGACACACTTCACCTGCTCCACAAATTTTCTCAAGATTGACCCAAAATGTCAATGATCAAACAAAAAAAGATTAATGTAACTATCCTTGGAATGAACTAGGCATCTGATTCGTAATGTGTGAGAGAGCTCCTTCTAAGGTTCAGCTATCAACTCTACCCATAAAGTGCCATAAACAATAGATACTCCCTTCTCCCTCCTGAGAAATGCATGATAAAACAATTCAGCCCTGTCTTGTAACTGATTATGATGCGACCAGACAGATGAATGGTGGAGCGGCACAAACCAGGTGCTGTCTGTAGAATGCTATCTTGATGTGGATTAACTGAAATGGCAAACAGATCCAGCCACTCTGTCAGCTCAGGTTAATGGCTCACTGTGAAGCCTCACCAGATAGAGAAATCCAGAGTGGGGAGGAGGTGAATGTAGATTCGGTTCTCTTTGGGATGCCTTGACTCATTTCCTGTCTTGCTACCAGTTGGGACCTCCAAAGATCTGCCTCTTATTTGGGGGAAGGTCTACAGAGAGAAGAGAATGAGTCACGAATCTGTTTAGACCCTCCTTATTGCACTCCCAGCTTCTACAGGGTCAAGAGGAAGTCTGCACATCCTGGTTTATCCAGGGCTTCCACTTTGAGGAGAGGCCCATATCAGCAAACTGCTTCATTTGCCTCTTGGTTGTGCTTCTGACTTTCCCTGACTTCAGTCCTACGTCTGTCTGTGGGTCTCTCTTCCCCTCCCTGCCCCACACACTTTTCAGCTCTCTTTTGTGTTGTGTCTTCCCCAGTGAGAATGTAATTTCCTTGGGGATGAGACCTATCTGTCTTTTTGTTTATATCTGTATCCCCAGCGCAGCACAGTTCCTGGAACATAGTAATGGCTTGGTAAATGCTTGTTTTCTTGCTTGCCTGCCTGGTAACTGGGGGAGGGTGATGAACAGAACAGTGGAAGCCACTGTCCACATGGACTCTAGCTTCCAGATCTATGGCGGTTGGCTTTTCTGATCTTCAAAGCCAATTTCTGGTAGATCTGCCAATATCTGTATATCTATCTCTATCTTTCTGTTTAGATACATAGACGTATATCTAAATAGAAAGAGATAGATATATAGACAGACAGACATAGAGATATGATAGGTAGATACAGGGTAGAGACAGACAGACAGAGAGAGAGAGAGAGATGGATGGATAGATAGATGGATAGCGGGATGGATGGATGGATGGATGGATGGATAGACAGACAGACAGAGAGATATATATGGATGGATAGATAGATGGATAGCTAGATGGATGGATGGATGGATGGATGGATGGATGGATGGATGGATGGATGGGTGAATAGATAGATAGATAGATAGATAGATAGATAGATAGATAGAGATAGACAGACAGATAGAAGGCAAGAGAGAGTGAGCCCAATGTTGCTGCTACAGCACACACCTAGATTTCAGAAGGACTTGAGTTTGAATCTCATCTCTGACACTTCTTAGCTCTGTGACCCTGGGCAACGCACTTAATTTCTCTGTGCCCCAATCTTCTCATCTGTAAAATGAGAGGGTGGCCTTGATGGTGTTAAAGGTTTCTTCTAGCTTAAAGTCTACTATCTAAAGCTAGAAGGAACCTTGGAAACTATTTTATCCAAACCCCTCATTTTACAGATGAGGAAACTAAGTCCTAGAGAGGTGCCTGACCTCACTCTGCTTGCCCATGGACATAGAGGTATATATCAAGTGCCATAAGAGTGTAGATTCAGGGCTGGAAGGGACCTCAGGGTGACCTAACCTAACCCCTTTGTTTTAAAGGTGAGAAACCTGAGACCAAGAAAAGTGAAGCATAGTGCCTGGCACATAGTAGTGCTTAATCAGTGTTGATTGATCAATTGCCTAAGTCTTGAGAGGTGACAAATGAAACCAGCTAGATCCCCTGCCTCCAGAAGCAGTGTTCTGTCCGATGACCCATACTGCCTCCCTCAGGTCTGACCTCCAGTTCCGTAATTCCTGAAAGAGGCCTGGGACGGTGCATTAGACATGCAGGTGGAAGGGAGTTAGAGCAAAGGAAACTGACTCCAGACTTAGAAATGTCTCCTGGGTGTGATCCTTGGCATCTGCCATCGCCCAGCCCCCAAGGCACTGGAGGGCTTCTTCCCGCACTATCGGTAACAGCTGCCAGAACCTTGCTCAGATAAATGCCCAACTTCTTGCCACTGAATTCAGCCCTCTGTGTCCTGGGTTTCTAAAAAGCCCTGGATTTATTTGTGCTACATTTCCCAGTTCCTAGAAAGCCCTGGCTTGGGTAAGCCGTGCATAATGAGGTCCATCAATGATGAATGAGCTCTTTGTAGGCCTCCTCTGTCCCTGAGCTGGCTGCAGACAAGTGGGAACATTAGGCAGCCAGAGCAGAAATCCCGTCTCTTGGTAAAAGGCCATTTAAATCATTTAACTTGCAACCCACTGGGGTCTCCCTGGCAGGAAGCCCACCCGAGAACCACACCTAGCTTTAGAGTAGCTTCAGCAAGAGACAGCAAGCCTGATGTAGCTGCAGCCCTAGCCCAGACTTCAGAAAGATTTGGGTTTGAGCCTTATCTGACATACTGTGCTGGAAGGTCTGAGTTCAAATCCAGCCTCAGACACCTAGCAGCTGTGTGACCTTAGGCAAGTCAGTTAAACCCTTTTCTGAGGCTCTATTTGCTCATCTACAAAATCACAACAGTAAGAATTACACCTACCTTCCAAGGCTAGCATGAAAATCAGATGACATGATATATGTTAAGTGCATAGAGCCTGGTAGAACTGTTGTTAATAATCCTTGCATTTATAGAGAACTTTATAATAAGAGCTAGCATTTAGACAGTGCTTTAGAGCTGGCAAATACTTTACATAGGTTGTCTCATTTGATCTTGATAGGGGCTATTATGATCCCCATTTTACAGATCGTGAAATTGAGGCAGGCAGAGGCTAAGTGTCTGACCCTGAGCAGGTCACTTAATTTCTCTGTACCCCAATTTTCTCATCTGTAAAATGTGATGGAGTATCTTTTATGACATCTGAGTTTCCTTCCAGGGAGTATCAGAGTTTGAATTTGAACTCACATCTTCCTGATTCCAAGTTCACTTACCTGCTGTACAACCTAGCTGCCTCAAACCTTATGATTACAAAGCCATACCTGGTTTATTTCATTTGATACACGCACACCCCTTATGAGTTGGGCTGTGCAGGGGTAAATGTTCTCATTTTGCAGAAGAGGTAACTGAGGCTCAGAGACTGAATTCATTCTTCTCCTCTTCCTCTCTCCAACCAGAGTTATGGAACAAATCATAGAAATGAGACTCCTCCAGACTCAGGTTTTCTGGCTGCAGTTCCCATGATCTTTAGCAGCTAGGTGGCACCATAGTGGACAGAGTGCTGGACCTGGAATCAGGAAGATCTGAATTCAAATCCAGCCTGACACTCACTAGCTATGTGACCCTGGGCAAGTCACTTAACCTCAGCTTCCTCATCTGTGTAACAGGAGTAAATAGCACCTACCTCCCAGGGTTATTGTGCCCTCCTCCCTGTATCCCCTTCCTCCAATTTGCTGGTTAGTCCCAGAACCTCCATTTTAAGAAAAATGCCCAGGCCTATCATGTCTTCATTCCTTTCCAGGCTTCCTTTCCTCACTTTCCCAACTTTCTCTTTTCCCTTTTCAGATCCCTTTAAAATATCATCTTCCAGGGGTAGCTACGTGGCACAGTGGATAGAGCACCAGCCCTGGATTTGGGAGGACCTGGGTTCAAATCTGGCCTCAGACACATAACACTTACTATCTGTGTGACCCTGGGCAAGTCACTTAACCCCATTGCCTAAAACAAAAACAAACAAACAAAACAAAAATAATGTATCATCTTCCAGGGCAGCTAGGTGGTGCAGTGGATAGAGCAGCAGTCCTGAAGTCATGAAGACCTGAGCTCAAATCCGGCCTCAGACCAAATACTTGACACTTACTAGCTGTGTGACCCTGGGCAAGTCACTTAACCCCAATTGCTTAAAAAAAATAAAATAAAATATCATCTTCCTAAATTAGAATGAAAGCAAGGGTCATCTTTCTTTCTGCTTTTATTTGAATTCCCAATGCTTAGCATAGTGCCCAGCACAGAGCAGGCATTTAGTAAATGCTTGTTGGCTACATCCCATATGTTAAGTCAGGATGGGCAGTTTTAGGGAGACCATTGATTTTACCTGCCTGAGGATTGAGAGTAAAGGGATATAGGTGGTATCATGGTTAGGGGGTGGGATTCAAAGTCAGGCAAATCTGAGTTCAAGCCTACCTCAGACTCTTGGGAGCTGTGCAACCCTGGGCAAGTCACCTGTCCTCTGTGGGCTTTAATGTCCTCATCTGTAAAATGAGGGATGTTAGACTCAATGCTATCTTATGTTCCTTCTAGCGGTGATTCGATGATCTTATGTAAATATAAATCTTTAAGGATATTTTATGTATGTGTGCGTACATGTATATATGTGTATATTATATATTTACATAGGTATGCATATATATATATACACACATACATATGTATATACACATATGTTGAAATATTGTAAGATCATAAATCTAGCGATGGAGAGGAACCCAAAAGAAAAAGTCATCTAGTTCAATACAAACCTCCTCCCCCAGTATTTTACAAGGAAGAAACCAAGATCCATGAAGATTAAATGATTGTCCAAGGTCATATACGAAGTAAATGTCAGAGATGGGATTTGAACCTGAGTCTTCGGGCTCCAAAGCAAATGGGTTTTCCACCAAATCCTGGTAAGGGACATTGCCTGGGAATTACAAAGAGCCTTTCATAGATCTCAATTTGTTTGGTGTTATGAGATGTAGCATCATAAAATGGAGAGTCAGGAGACCTGAGTTCTGGTCCCAGCTCTGGTACTTTCTGGCTGTGTTGAGCAATAAATCCAATCAATATTTATTAAGCACCTACTGCATGGCAGCTGCTGTTCCAAGTACTGGGGATATTAAAAAAAATAGGAAAGATAATCCCTTCTCTTCAGTAGCTTTCCATTCTCTGGGTCACAATTTCCTAATTTCAAAAATAAAAGTGTTAGGCAAAATGACTTCCAAGGCCTCTCCCAGCTCTAACATTCCCTGTTCTAAGACCCCTCCAACTAGGACATTTCCTGTTCTAAGGCTCCTTCTATCTCCAACATTCCATGTCCTAAGGTCCCTCCAGCTCTGACTTTCCATATTCTAAGGACCCTCTCAGCTTTCAAATTCGCTATTTTGCTCAATGGGGCCAGAGCTTGAGTCCAAATAATACAATTGGGACTCTGTCTCCCACACATGGTAGGTACAGAAACAAGTTCTTTTACAAGCCCAGCCTTATCTCCCTTTCATCATCCCCTACACACACACACACACACACACACACACACACACACACACACACACACGCACATGCTTCTTTCCTGCATGCTTATGCTTGATGCTAATCATAAAACAACGTGTATTTGTGTGCCTGACAATAAAACAAAATGAAGTTTTGTCCGTAGTTATATTAAGGCTGATTATTTAAAAATCGGGTTCATTATTTGGTCTAGATCATAGAAGCATCTGTTAAAACCAGATGGTGCTAGTGAGCAGCCACTTTCTTAAATGAATACCAGGAAACAGAAAAACTGTTTTTTTTAATTGAAGACAAAATATTATGAATTAGAAAATGAATTAAGTAAAAACAATCATCTGGGAAGATTTTGGCTTAAATTTCTTTTTAAACAGCTTTTATGAAAAGTCTTTTACACCAGACCCATAATGAGGGGACTCAGCAATGAGAGCTTTACCACAGGGCACCCAATTTAGAGGGTATTTGCAGCACTTACGATCCTTCACGGGTTAGAAACAGCTGTGCTTAGCACTTGCTTATCTAGAATAATTTCCTTAAACTAGGAAGCTACTAGAGGTAGGGCTGTGGTAAGCTGTTTCCTTCCTTTCTCCCTAATTATAGTTAATATTTATATAGTGATTAAGGATTGCAAAATGTTTTATATATATTATCCCATTTAATCCTCATAGCAACCTTTCCAGATAGGTGCTATTATTATCCCCACTTTGCAGATGAGAAAAGTGATATTGAAAGAGGTTTAAGTGACTTGTCCAGGATCACACAGTTAGTAAGTGCATGAGGCAGAATACAAACCCTGGTCTTTCTGGCTCTAATGCCATATTTATTCACTATGCCACATTTTGTAAATATTTGTTGAATTGTATCATTAAATATTACTGGCAGGGCAGCTAGGTGGCACAGTGGATAGAGCACCGGCCCTGAAGTCAAGAAGACCTGAGTTAAAATCCGGCCTCAAATATTTGACACTTACCAGCAAGTCACTTAACCCTGATTGCCTCGAAAAAAAATTACTGCCCCATAGTATAGTTTGGGTTAGAAACACTGGATTAGAAGATGCTTGATATCACCTTCCAGCAGGTCGCATTTGTTGGTAGCAATAACTAGGCCATCCCTCATGTTATTTATTGAAAGACACTCTGGTTGCAAAGTCCAAGAAAAAGGATTAGCACATAGACCAAAGCTGACCTCCCACTCTGAGGTCTTTGAAAATATGAAAATGTCTCCATGATCTACCATGCTGTGGCTAAAAGAGTAAAGGAACATCCCATGGAAAAAGGCAAACAATGACATCCCCTAGCCCACTCAAGAAGATATTGAGGGTCTCACTTAGGTGAAGATGGCATTTTAATTTCATTTTCTTAGTGTGCATTTTTTTTCTGCATCCTATTACTGGTTGATTAAGACTTTGCATAGAAGAGGCCCTTTGAGCTCCCCTGCCTAGTGGGCGATCACCTGCTTCGGTGCTGAAAGTTAATGTCCAAGTGCAATTAGAGAGAATTCCATTTAAATACTTCAAGCTTTCCTTCAATAATGTAAGCAGCATATGGTATGTTTTGACTTTATCCACTGTTAGGCTATTACTATACTAAACTATTTCCAGCTATTGTAATACTGACTAATTCCAGTGTTGGCCTCTGATGCTACATGTTTTGTTTTTAAATAATTAAGATTGATCTCTTGGGAGTTCCCTTGCCCCATTTGCAAAATGAAGGAGTTGCCAGTAGGTACAGGTGACAAAAGTAAATAGAAACAGTTGATGTTGGAGGGACTGTGGGAAGACAGACACTTCTGTTGCTGTTGTTAAATCATTTCAGTCATGTCCAACTCTTTGTGACCTCATTGGTTTTCTTGGCAAAGATTCTGAAGGAGTTTAGCATTTCCTTTTCCAGCTCATTTTACAGATGAGGAAACTGAGACAAAAAGGATTAAGTGACTTGCCCAGGGTCACATCTACTAAGTGTCTGAGACCAGATTTGAACTTAGGTCTTCCTGACTCCAGGCCCAGCACTCTATCCACTATGGCACCACCTAGCTGCCCCAAGACAGACGCTATAAATACCTATTTGTGGAACTGTGGATTGGTCCAGCCATTCTGGAAAACAATTTAGAATTATACTTAAAAAAAAAAAGTAATAGACTCTATGACTTCTAATCCAGTGATTGGACTTCTTCACATATGCTTTAAGGGAGTAAAAAATAGGAAGAATGGCCCAGTATAAACCAAAATATTTATAGCTTCACTTTTTGTGGTAGCAAAACACTGGAGACAAGATAGAAATACATTATTTTGCTGTGCACGTGATACTTTTTTCTTTCTCATTATGCATTTAAGTTTCAATATTTAAGTTTATAATACGTTTATTTTTCTTTTCTTATTGTGTATTTAAGTTGATCAAAGTATTATGGAACTGGAAGGATGACTTTTTTTTTTTTGAAGTGGGGAGGAGATGGAACCCATGATTTCAGCATCAAGTTCCAATTTCTAAGTAAGGAATTCCCTATGCCAATGCAGATTGGTACCTTCCTTGAGGCTTATTATGGTCAGAGAGAATGGTTTGAGGCACTGAAATGCTGTGATTGCCCAGAGTCATATGACTGGTATGGATCTGAGAGAAGACTTGAACCTGAATCATCTTGATTCTGAGACTAGCTCACTATCCAGTATACCATCCCATCTCTAAGAAAAAGACAATGAGATGCAATTAAAACAAGTCCACCTTAACCTATTTACACGTTTCTGATGCCAGAAAATGGGACATGGAGAAACAGAAGGACATTTGCTCTGAGACACAATCCCAGAGAAAATTTTGAAGATATACATAGAGGAACAAAGAAATGTACAAGACACCATGAAGAACTCCTATGGTGGGAGATGCTGGAGACTTCTGG